GGGGGGGGATGGAGGAGAAAAGGAGTGGGTTGAGGGAGATGTAACTGAAACAACAAATGAGTCAGAGGTTGAAAAGGAATCTGGTATTGGTGCAGATTGTTTAGGGGAATTTTGAGAAAGAGGATGATGTTGATAAAGGAGGAGAGGGACATGAAGAGAGAGAAGGTTGTGGGGTTTCTTGATCAAAAGTCTATAAAAGAAACTGGAAATATAGAATGAAAGCACTGCTTGAAGCTAAGGGGGCTGAAGCTGAGAGGGATGAAGTAAGGCACTCAAGTGAGGATTCAGGATACTATTGGATGAAACTTATGCAATTGGAAGATCAATTGACTTGGTGAGGGTAGTGAATAAAGAGGTGGAGGTGAGTAAAACTTTGGGTCTGTTTTTTCTCCTGCGGGGGGGGGGGGGACTTTGTGGCGAAAACTTTTAAGGAGTTGGAAGAAAAGTATGGTGGGCCTTTGAAGGGTATGGAGAAAGACAAACTGATTACCAATGATATTGTTAGTGCAAGAGAGATTGATGCACAAGATGGTTCTTTTCTGATCATTTTAAGAAAAGACTAAAAATACAAACCTCCCACATGCAAAGGGCCTCAGTGAAGGACAACTCCCGACGGAAAAGCACCATCAGCATCCGGAAGGCAAAATGAAGGCTTTCAGCCCCTATTAGTGATAAGTGTGCAAACATTTCCCTGTCTGTCAGTTCCAAGATATGCCATAATGTTTGTAACTTCTTCATCACTCCAGTTGGACCTTCCATCTGAAAATTTTCCCGCTGAAAATAAAATGAAAATGTGGTAGTGTAAGAGAATCATAATCAGGCCAATATAACAATGCGGACAGATAAAAAATAATTTAATTTAATTCAAGATTTCCACAATTATGAGGATACCATTCTTCTTATTAGCATCTCAAAGCACCAAAATGCATCTGCATCATCATTATAGAGGACAAGAAAAGGAGATAGCAAGTCACTCATACCTACATACCAATTCAAATGTCTTAAAGGCGGTATCATTACAGTTGAGAATCCATAGCTTTGCCATGAACTTAACAAGGAAATAGTTGAAAATTTAATGTTCAAGGAAGTTGAACAAAATTAAAGCAAAAAAAGAAAAAGATGGGAAACCAAAAAAAAAAAGGATGAGCATATAACCTTGGCAATATCCAGTAGCAGGATCAACCCATGCATAAACAGCAAGGATATCAGACATCCTAGCAATGTTCTTCTCATCCTCATAAAATTCAAGATGACTGTCTGTTCTTACCACATCGACAACTGTAAAAACATAGACTTCATCACCTGATATGCCAGAAAAGTTTAATTATAAAATAAATAATATCCTATATATATCGAAGTAAATTTGGAAACTCTTAGCCTGTTATGCCAAAAAAGTTTAATTATCATATGAATAATACCCTATATCAAAGTAAAACTCAGAAATCCTTTTACCTATTCGGTGAAGTGTCCAAAGCCATTCAGAAACTCTGTCTTCACTGACACTTCCACCTTGAGTTGTTGGTCTCATGATTTCTGTTTCTGGAACATCTGATATTCTGAGCCCCTTTACTATTTTGTTTTCATATTCAAACTTTGTTCTCTTTATTTTATGTCCATGTACATTCAATGTAAACTTTCCACATTTAGAGTTTCTTGAATGTGGAATATCATTTTCTGGTGAACCATTTGATTCCATAATTAGATCTACATTATTACTAATTTGAAAGGTGTGCATATTTTCATCTGGACATCTCGGCTTATTGCATGTAGATAGCCTATCATGGTGCACCCAGTATTCTTTATCATCATTGTCACTATTTTGAAAAAACTTTGTGAAAGATAAAGGAGGAAAGTCAAAAAAACTCTCATTTATGCATTCTGATCCATATGCTTCTTCTCCTCGAGTCAGGGAATAGAAATTGTAAGGATCAGAAGAAGAGAAATGATGTGAATATCCATATGCTGCACCTTCTATGCTTCCCCTAGTGCTGGTATACTCAGATGAATCACTAGCGCATTCCCTTTGGTATGTATAGGATGTATCTGTACAGTTATTATTCCAATCACAGTAATTTTCTATTTTGTTAGTTCTATCATGGGAAGCTTGTCTACTTTTGACTTCTGCTTCCCTCTCCCCAGTATCTTTATATACCTTCCTCATATCCATCACTTTTGACCCCACAATGTAAGCAAGAGAACCAGTACCAACACTTGAATGCATCACTTGGCACTGCTTGAGTAAATCCTTGTATCGACTCCTGCATAAAAAAATTCCAGTTAAGTCTTATTCTTTAGTCAGGACATAAGAAAGTAATCTGAATATACTGATGTATTCATTTACCACCACAAAACATGGAAGTTTCATAGATGGACAGAGATATAATCATAACAAACTATAAACTTTATATCATTAAAGTGATTAAGTTACTTTAATTAGAACCTTGAAAAAAAATAGAAATTTCACTGCAATAACTTGATGGGATTTATGTTTTTAATATTTAATTTGCATTAAGTAATTTTTCTATGTGCGAGAATTTCTAAAAGCAGGGGGATAAACACGTTATAAGGGAGCATAAAAATTTTCTGAAAGAGTATTTTATATTAGTATTATATACTGCTAGCACATAAGGGCATTATTTTAATTTTAAATTATACTATGGAGTGCACTAATATAATTTCTACAGTGAGGCATGGATGATGGACATCAAATCTTGCCCTCATTATTCCTCCTCTCCTCTTTTCTATGATTTTCTCTTTGAACTTTACAATCCTTTCTACATGGTATCAGAGCAGGAAACCAACCTCTTACGTTTCTCCTCTTCTTTTTGTATTGTATCCACTTTAAAGGTTGCTTAAAGGAGACTTCTGACATAATCTATTTGACACCACTGATATCACCATGCCATACAGGTGATGTCAGCGAGTGTATAGATAGTCATCACCTTGGTGGATTGAAGGGGATTCAACCACCTGAAAAAAGATGAATTATATAACCTAAAAATAATTTATGATTTTTGAGAAGTTAATGACAGTTTCTTTTTCAAATTTTTTGGTGATCATTTGAAGTTTCTGAATTATAGAGCAAGGAAAATACACCTTTAATGTGTCAGGTTGACACTGTTTGATCTTGAGCAGGCCTTTGAAGATGCAGGAAATGATCTTTCCTTGATTGGAGAAGTATTTAGGTTTTTGGATGAATTTTTTTCCTCATATATTACCACCTACCTACCATTTATCTTGTTTTGTGCCTACGTTCTGCATGACCAGCATGAGACATGCCTGCTGATATGTCCTAGTTCTTTGTAATGCAGTTTCAAGGAAGTATACCATTACTCTGATCTATTAAGTTCTTGTGAGGACTGGGTCTATGTCCTACTATTGCTTGTATTCTTCCTCATCGTCTTTCAATCTGATCATGGTTTGGTAATGAAGTAACAAATACATCCACTAGTTCCAACATCAATTGGACACCTTTCCCATTTAATCAAATGAAACTTCTTGGACCCCAGCCCCTTCCCACAAAAACACCCTTTGAACCTTCTCTATTTTCCTAGCCACCTCCTTAGGAACTTTCAGTAATGAAAGGTAATAAGTTGTAGGCTCAAAAGAACACTCCTAATAAGGGTAATTCTACCTCCCAATGAGAGGTACATTGCCTTCCACCTGAAATAGATGCTCTTCTTGAGAATGACACTTTGGAGTAATTTCATCCTCCTCCTGATGCCTCAATTATAGGAAGCTGGTGGGTGTATTCAGTTAAGTTGAAGCCTGATGGCAGTCTAGACAGATACAAAGCTAGACTGGTTGCTTAGGGATTCAAGCAAGAATATAGGATAGATTATGAGGAGACATCTTGCCCTGTGGCCAAGATGACGATGGTTCATCCCCTTCTGGCTATTTTAGCAATAAAGAATTAGGTTATTCACCAAATGGATGTAAAGAATACTTTCTTGCATGGGGATTTGAAGGAGGTAGTGTACATGAAACCTCCTCCTAGCCGCTGTTATGAGCCTCATCTAGTTTGTTGCCTCAAGAAATCTCTTTATGAGAGGTTTCGATCTGTTATCACAGATGCTAGGTTCATTCAAAGTTCTTTAGATTGCTCTTTCTTTACATCACAACAGTCTCAAGAAATCTCTTATACGTTGAAGATATTCTCATAACTGGAGATGATCAAGATGGTATACACAGCTCAAGAATCTTCTTAACCAATCTTTAAGTTGAAAGATCTGGGGCTAGTTACATATTTCTTGGGCTTGGAAGTTCATCACAATTCTAGTGACTACTTCCTTAATTAGCAGAAATATGCCAAATACCTAGTCAACCTTGCTCACCTCAGACACAAAGATAGTTAATACCCCATTGGAAGTCAATTTGAAGTTAAGGATGATGTTCCTCTTTTAGAAGACACCACGTTGTATCATCAACTTGTGGGCAGTCTTATCTACCTCACAATGACATGCCCAGGCATCTCATATGCAATCTAGATCGTAAGCCAATCTGTCTCTACTCCTCGCCAACCTCACATAATAGTTGTACACCGTATCATCAGATATGTTTGGGGGACTATTTCCTATGGTGTGTTCTACCACTGGCCAGTGCATATTTCTTGGTGACTCTCTGGTATCTTGGAAATGTAAGAAGCAACAGACTATTTCCAAACCATCCACTGAAGCAAAGTATAGAGCCATGTCCTCAGCGTATAGTGAAATTCTTTGGCTTCATTCTCTCTTACATGATCTCAATATTGCTCAGTCTTCTCTTGTTCCTCTATTGGCTGGCAATCTAAGTGCAATCAAGATTGCTTCTAATCCTGTCTTCCATGGAAGGACGAAGCACATTGAAGCAGATTGTCACTTTTTAAGAGATCTCCTTATTGCCAGTAGCATTTCATTGCCTCATGTCTCTTCTACTCTTCAGCTGGCGGATATTTTTATGAAGGCTATGACTAGGGCTTGGCATTCCTTTCTCATGGACAAACTAATGGTAGTCTAACTACATTAGTTTGAGGGGGAGTGTAGACACAGGGATAGTGAGGGCTAAATTGTAATTTTACTTTCTTGTTGTACCATTCATTTTCTATTATTTTACTCTGTATACTACTTACTGTACTATAAGGATAGAAGTTCTTTTTACATTTAATTAATATAAATAGTTCTTTCTTGGTGTGGTCGACTCATCAGACACACCCCAAATCTGCTGTCTTTTCTCTAGTACAAACTGCACTGACATTCCAGATGTGGCTAAATCATCCGTATCCATGTTTGACTAAAGACCACAGTATATGTAAAGTCAACACACCTACAAGCAGCAGTCCAATAGTTACAATTCAGCAGTGAATTAATGACTTTTACAATTCAGTAGCCAACTGGAAACAAGATCAGTAACCCAGTACAATCCCTGGTTCACACCAGTCCACCAAAAAACAAACACAATAGCGCTTCAACACATAATATAGCTGCTATAACCCTTAGGTTCATACAAACCCAAAAGAACTTCAACACAGGTACTGCACACCATAATAGATCATACAAATTGAAGAGATATGTATACAGACCTGTTACATCAATGGTAAACCTTCCAAGAATCAGAAATAAACCCTGTAACAAGGGATGATAGAAAACTCCATCAAAAAAGGAGGAAGATGAAGATTTCAGCAGTAGAGAGGGAAGGAGAAGAAAAGAGTAGGAGGTCAACTAGGATTATGAGAAACTTAACCCTAGCCGCCAGCCCCTCATTATATTTATATTTAACTTAAAGATGAGATATTACAAAGATGCCCTTAATAGGGCGGCTACTAAAACTGAATAGTCACAACTTTAAAAAATAAAAAACTAATGGGCTTAAGGCCCAACAACTTCCTAATTAAATAAAAGCAAACTAAAGACAAACTGGGCCACTCAACAAAACAAATCGGGCCACTCAACACTCCCCCTCAAGTTGGGAGTAAATGTCACACATTCCCAACTTGCGTAGATCATGCTCTAGCTTGTTCTTTGCAACACCCTTTGTGATAACATCAGCGAGCTGCAGATCAGAAGCAATGTATGGAAGACAGGCTTCTCCAGAAGTTACCCTTTCTCTGATAAAATGTCTATCCACTTCAATGTGCTTAGTTCGGTCATGCCGGACTGGGTTATGGGCAATGTTAATTGCTGTCTGGTTATCACAGTATAGCATCATGGGTTCTTCTGCCTATACACCAATTTCTTCTAACAGAGAACGGATCCAGAGAAGTTTTGAAATTCCATGTGCCATGGCCTTGTATTCGGCTTCAGCACTTGATCTTGCCACCACTGTTTGTTTCTTACTCTTCCATGAGACTAGGTTACCCCCAACTAGGGTGCACACTCCTGAAGTTGATCTCCTGTCATCAAGGCATCCTGCCCAATCGGCATCTGTATAAGCCTCTAGATTCAACTGTCCATAATCAGTAAACAATATGCCTCTGCCTGGGTGTCCCTTCAGATAAGCAAGGATCCTGTCAACTACCTCCCAATGCTGGACTCGTGGGGCATGCATGTATTGACTTACTACACTCACTGCATAGGAGATGTCCGGACTTGTCATACACAAGTATAGCAGCCAACCCACAAGTCTCTGATATCTCCTAATGTCCTTTACTGGTTCACCTTCTGTTGCACTAATTTTATGGTTTTGATCAATAGGGGTGCTAATTGCCTTTGTTCCAAGCTTCCCTGTCTCTTGAAGAAGGTCCAAGACATACTTCCTTTGAGAGATAAAAATTCCATGTTTCAATCTTGCAACTTCAATGCCTAAGAAGTATCTCAGTTCTCCAAGATCCTTAATTTCAAATTCCTTATGTAGGTTCCTCTTCAAACTATCAATCTCACTCA